GGTATCTTAAATCCTTCTTATCCGAGTTTGCAAAGCGCCAGTGGATGGTCCATGAACAAGTGAAGATTATTAGTGATTTTCTTGCTTTCATAGCCAATAAAATGGCGCAGTGTGAGGTGTGGTCTGAAGTCTCGGATGCGGAATTCGACAATGCCCGCGAAGGTATGGAGAAGCTGGTCATGAATCGGCTTTATACACAGACCTTCTCACCTGCAATACCCCCTCCTCAACCCATTCCCGGTGCGAAGCCAAAACGTCGTGGAGGCGAGCGGCCGATGGGGCCAGGGCGACGAGGGCAGCATCAGGAGGACGTAGAGAGAGATGATATCCTAGCGCAGAAGATTGGTATTTATAGCTGGGTCCGAGAGGAGCACTTGGATATTCCTCCCATCAATGACACCGGCAAAAGATTTCTTACTCTAGCACAGCAAGGTAAATACTGTTCAAATTCACATTTACAGTCTTCCTACTAACTATCGTAGAACTTTTGAAAATAAAATCCTACAGAGCGCCTCGAGACAAGATTATATGTGTTCTGAATTGCTGCAAGGTCATATTCGGTACGGCTACAAGAGTACTTCCTTTTGAATGATGCTAATTATAGTACCAGGACTCCTTAAACACAACAAGTCAGATTCGTCGGCCGACTCCTTCATGCCGCTCTTGATTTATGTCGTGTTGCGATCAAATCCTGACCACCTAGTTTCTAACGTCCAATACATTTTGCGATTCCGCAATCAGGAAAAGCTCGGTGGAGAAGCCGGGTACTACCTTTCATCTCTGGTAAGGCCAAGCTCAGCCCAACATTGGATGTAGCTCTCAGCTTATAAACTTCTAGATGGGCGCTGTGCAGTTCATCGAGAATATGGACCGGACCACCCTGACGATCTCCGACGAGGATTTTGAGAAGAACGTGGAGACTGCTGTATCGGCCATTGCAGAAAAGCATCGCACAGAAGAGCCGCCGCCGGCACCCCAATCGCAACAAGCCGAGAAGACGGGGATGCCCTCGGGTTCATCCTCCGCGCGTCCGTCCCTCGAAGTGGATGGTTCGAGCACACCTCGTAGGTCTACGTCGTCCAACGAAGGTGATAACTCTAGCGATGAGAGCCCTGCGATCTCTGGTTTACTCCGGAGCATTCAAAAGCCGCTGTCCTCGATTGGGCGCATATTTTCAGAGGATACAAGTGGGATAGGTCCTAGCTCTTCCCCTGCTCGTATACCCCAACCAGGCAATAGTACACCAGGTCGTCTCAGCCCGCGTCCCGGCGCTGATAAGCGCCCCTCGGAAGAGGTTCGGCAGCAGATGTCAGCTCAGGAAGCAGCAGCAAGGCAGGCCAGCGCGGAAGTTGCCGAGGCTCAAAGACTGCAACGAGCAGAGCATAACAACGTCGTAGAAACCCTCGCAGGGATGTTCCCAGACCTAGATCGGGAAGTCATTAGCGATGTCGTCTATCAGAAGGAGGGAAGGTTAGTTCATTCCTCTCGTCTTTGTCCCTGGCACTTTTCTACTTGCTAACATCTTGGCTGTACAGAGTTGGACTTGCAGTTGATGCTTGCCTTGCTTTAAGCGCATAATCATACCCTAATCCGAGTCGTTTTATCGCATGTAGAGAAATTGGGACAAGCAGTCCATCCATCAAGTAGCTACAGGTTAATTAGGGGGTTGTGAATCTCGGCCAGTGCATTTCATTGGCCTTACTAGCTATGTGCCTCGACTCTTTGGTTTTGTCGGCATCTATCAGCGTGAAACCTCGATAATATCCTGTTTCTATACGCATTTGCCTACTACTGGCGGTTACCTAACACTAGATCGTTACAAGGCCCTTTGCTAATGGGACAACATTCCACGTTCTAAGGCGAGCTGTATGTCTTGCGTTCCGCTTTTGGTTAAATCATCTTCATAGGTTTCGCTGAACATAACAGACCGAAATAAGGCGCGAACACTGTCACCGTTAGTAAATGAGACCGTGTCGTATTGAACACGTGGTGTCTGATGGCCTTGCTGCTTAGTGGAACACTGCAACTCTTCCTTGCGCATGTCCCTTCCCCTTTATCTAGCCTATGTAAGGTGTTCATGATGCAGTCATGCGTATGCTCTTGACATCGTATCATGTGGCTTCAGATTGCTTCAGATTAGGGGCAGGGGGGTCACTATCCGCTTCTAGCACACTCGGTAGACAGCGCAGGGCGCTTTGGTTTAATAAAAAAATCTTGAGCCAGGACTCCACGGGGCTGGAGTTGACCGCTTGAAGCGATAGATATCTCTGACCTGGTGGTGGCCTCATCTAGGTAGTAGCAATTTTCAACAACATATCGCGCGTCTTGACGGCGTATTCATATTCATCTAGTTGTAAACTTGAAGACATGTGCCCGAAGTGACTGCCCGTGGGAAAGCCTTTGTCGTGCCCCATCGTAATGCCTTTGTACTTGCCGAGGCCCCTGGCTAAGTGCTCATTGCTCATCCCGAGGGTTGACAAGAGATGCTAACACTGACTTGAATGAACCTTTCTAGTATACGCAGCAGAAGGGATAAGAGGGGTGAACGTGTTGTTCGGATTCAAGTAACATCATTCTGTCGAGGCAGAATGTTCCAGTAGAGAGGGAGGATCTATGTCCATCGAGTGGGTTGAAGGAGAATACGTCTGCCCCAGGTAATTCTAACACGCTGTTGTCCTTTTGCAGTTGATCAACCCGGCAAATTCCAGACGTTAAAGGAGACTTACAGGGCTGGTGACCAGGTTTGTCTTTTAACTCGGCGTCATCTTGATGATCAAGTCTTTCATCCATTTCTGTTTCCATCCCACAAGGTTGTTTGGTTCTGAGTCACGACAATTACAAGGAGCCAGTAGCAAACCTGAAAGTAAAGGTATCTCAAACCATTCATAGTCTTCTCTAGATCTGGTACTAATCTAACGTGATTTGGTGAAAATATCTTAGCTATTAAGTATTTAATCAACACATATTTATGTAATAATGATCATATACAAAATGTTAAGCTTCACTAACAACACAAATATCAAAGAATTTACATCGACCGGAATATAAATCTATTACTCGAGTTGTAACAAATGTTCCCATGGTGAGTCGGACTCGACGCGGGTGGTCTGAGTCACTGGGTCATACAGTCAATCAACACAACCAACAAATGAATCACAAACCTCAGCATTTACCAACATCTCTGCTTATAAATAGCTGGACTCGTCCTCATGTTCTTACAATATATCACACCAGATAGTCTCCCATTCCTCAGATTCTTTATACCAACACCGACAAGAGGACATAAGCACCTCCTCATTATTATATCTTACAAGCACCAACGCACTAGCGACGTTCGCCCAGCACACACTTCTCCTTGTGAGAACGACCCTCAACAACACCAACTATCAACACCCAACGGTCATCAATTACTACCATAACATCCAAATGTGTAATAGTTATCAGCAGTACAAAGGCCGCTGCGGCCATGTGATTCGCTGTCTCACCGACCGACTCGACCAACTAATAACGACGCCTTGCGACGATGTCAAACAGGGCAAGCGTTGTTTAGACATAGTACCAGTAGTTCTGTCTACGACCTGTCCGCCCAGCGAGCTACCATTTGAGGCCGACTATTGCGAGAACTGTAAGTCGGGGCCTGTCTGGAACGAAAACATGGAAAAGCGATTCGGAGAAGTGAGCAGTCAACTTCAATCATCGCACCAAAAAGATAAGGTTAAAGCCCTGCATCTAGGCATACAATCGTATACTGAAGTTCCGGGTTGCGTGAAGGACAATGTGCATAAAAGGGTGATGGGTAATTGGGCTAGCTTCACTGTTGTTGACATTTGGGAAGCGCTGGATAAAGCTATGCGTTGAGCTACTGAAACAACGTGACCAGTGGAATTTCGGCCATATCATGTAACCGAAAATCCTCGCGGATTAGTATGGAACTAGTTGCCAGGGTGAAAGGTTACATGCGGTGTATCTGTCGGATGAGGAGACTTCCATGAGACTAATCACGGTTTCGATCTATGGTTTCCTGTCTACACACAGATATCAGTTTTTGGTTTGCGGGATAGAGTCCCCCTATGCATCAATAAAACGCGTTGGTATTTATAGTTGTGTGCTATTCGGTGATGTGACCGTGACGCTAATAATTTCATCTAATTTAGAGAAAAGAAAATCATGGCATATGACTTTGTCAGACAAGACGTACATGCCACGTTATATTCAAAGAGTGTCAAGAAATGAAGAAAACTTACAAGTAGTGCCGAGTGGTGTTACGACCCCTATATTTAATTTCGGGGGTCCTGGTGGTAATATCAACAGTGGTCAAGCCGTATAAGTCAGGCAAATGTAAGACATGTTCACGATCTCTCATGCTCACTTGTTCCATGCTTGATCTATGGCCTTGGAACTATCTCCTTGCCTAGCATTATAAACTATGAACGCTTTCGAAAGACTTGCGTTCAGGTTGAAAACCGAGGATTTAGGTGTAGAACTCTCCAAACCACAACGACTATCCGCAAAGCTGGCACAATCCATCCAGACCCGTTGGTAAGGAACTTACAACTAACATATTAGTCTCACTTTGCAGCCATGGTTGAGTTGCTCACAGGCACTGCGCATAGTTTGTATGAACCTAGGAGGTATGCAGGTACACAGTCCCTTTCGTCCTTCTCTCTCATCCTGACGCTGTTGTGTCATTCTTCCATGGAATAAAATCATGTGCTCACCGTCAATTGCCTCTTGTGTCCCTGTGTGAGTACGGTGAATTGATCTGCGCTGGCTAGACTGGGGTAGATTGTGCACCAGTCTGGATCCGATCTTCTGGCCTGCTAATCATATAAGCATCCAAATGAACATTCTTCGTCAACATATGATGGCTCAGGTTGTGACATGAGGTTCTTTCGCTATAAAAATCTTGGAACACTCCCACCTCCTGGGTGTACGCGGTACATTGATTGTTATATGGACAACGGTATCCCATCGATGCCTTTGGTTCCGCAAGCATAAATGGCTGAGTGGTCTAGTGGTATGATTCTTCCTTTGGGCTCCCAGGTGGAATCTCAAATTGCAAGAGGCCCCGGGTTCAAACCCCGGCTCAGCCCTTCATTTTTGGATTTACAAAGAAACTTGCCGTTAATTTTGCTGCAGGTTAAGAGACTTGGTCTCATTTCGATTTGTCGGTGAGCTAAGTGGAGACCTTATATATGTATATACGTGTACGTAGCTTGGGCCGGGGTAAAGGTGTAATGAGTATGATACGTGCACAGCCTGAACTATTTCCAGCATATTTACAGCTTTGTAGATAGACTCCCGTAACTTTAGCTATATTAATCGTATACCATCTCCATATGACTCATGGGTTTCTGTTTACAGTGACCCACTGCCCATCTCACGTCGAGGGAACAAAATCCAGGGATTACAGATCAGGTTTTGGAAGTTCGGTGTCTTACTTGATATATCAATATGCACTAGATGGCCCCCAAAAGGCTCCTTAGATTACAACAATATCTTTATACAATAGATACTAGGCAACGTCCCATCTTCAATAGCCCACTCCTGGGCTTAACACGGCAGAATTGCTATTCTAGTTCGACCTCTAAGCTCGACTATGTAGTAGGTTCGATAATATATTATGTTCGCGTTCGAAGTATTAAGCCAAACAAGCTATAGAGTAGGGATGTTGATTCGCGTCTTGGTCTTCGCCTGCCTCAATCACAAAGACTTATGCTATCCTGAAAGAAAAGAGGAGAATATGGAAACAAAGGGATATCAAAAGTTGGTAATAACGGTTATTTTGAGTGTTTTAATGCCATGAGCAACAACTGGGCTGGTCCCTATTAACTCATGGGTCACCATGGTGCAAACCTGGGCGGCGACCAAACAGCTAAGACAAGGCCCGCAAATCATCTCCAGACAATAATGAAGTCAGAATCATTCGATACTTTCTGCGTATAGTGTCTCCAAGGGAAATGCTCGTGCTCATTCAGCGGTAATAGAATCTCAGCTGTCTAAGGTGGGAACTCGGTAAAACTGCGCAGATGTTCATAATCGACTCTCAGTTCGGCCTCCGGGCTTTAATTCCCGAAGCGATTGATCGAAAAGAAGGTGGGTGATGCAAGAGCTTTCCGTATAAGCCAAGTCTAAGACGGCAAGTCCGACGAGGATTGAACGGCAGCAGTACGAAAATGATATAATTACTAAGCAGTTAGCGACCTGCTCGGGTCGGCCGGAAATGCATCATCACATCACTAGAAAATAGAAGACTACGCTATCCATTTATATTGGAATATCTGGTGGCTGGTATACAATATACAGGTGGCTGGAGGACGCCCCATACCAATAGCTATATAGGAGGATATCCCCTCCTACCTATAATACCTCTCTTATTACTACTATTATTAATATAATTAATATATATATTTATAACCTATATATCTATTTTAATAGGTTATAAACCCGGAGCTTATTACCATTATTATTATTATTATAATTACCTATCCGTTATTTATTTATTTATTATTTATTATTAAAAAATGCAATTTAAACGTTACGCCTTTTATATATATAATATAAATAAGTAAAACGGAATTAATAAAACGGAATTAAAAATTTTATATAAAATAATATAGTTTATATAATATAATTAAAACGGTATAAAATAAATAATATAGTTTATATAAAATAAAAAATTAAATTCTAGATTTTTTAATTTAATATTAAATTATATTAAAATATACTATAACTATATAACGTATTTATTACTTATATTAAACCCTAAATAGCCCTAAAATTTATACTATTAACATTTATAAAATAATAATTATTATTTTTTAAAAACTATTTAAATATTAAAGCTTTTCGGAATTATTAAAATTAATAAATCCCTAATTATTAAAATATATTTATTTAAATAACGGTTTTATTAATATTTAAATAATAAATAACGATAAAATCGACGTTAAATATAAATATTTCGCTATAAAATAAACCCTTAAAATAATTAAAATATTTTAGATTTTTTAACGAAAAAAATTTCCTATATTTAACGTACGAATTTTTATAACTATTTTTAAAAGATTTTATAAAAGAATTTAAAAATTTAAACTATTTATTATTTCCCCTATTATTAAATCCTTTATTATTTAATTTAAATAAAATATTATATATTTCTTTACTTTTAAATTTTAATATTACCGATTTTTTCGGATTAAAATCCCTTTTTTTTAAACGGTTATTTAAATTATTTATATTAAACTAATAAAAGCTTAAAAAATATCCTAAAATAACTATTAAAATACCTATTAAAATTACTAAATTAATAATTAAATTACCCTATAATAAATTACTTTATAATAAATTACCTTATAAATTAATTATAAAAACCTAAATATTTAAAAATTTTATCCTTATATATTCTATTTAATTATTAACCTTTTAACGATTTTATTATAAATAAAAAAACCGGAAAATTTAATACTAATACCTTTAATAACTTAATTAAACTAAAAAATTTAAAATAATAGTTCGTATTTAAAAAAAAATTAGCAATTATTTAAAAATAAACAACTATAAAAAGCTTTTTCTAAAAGATTAAAACGAAAACTAACTAACCTTTAAAAATTACCTTAATAAAACCGAATTATAAAAAAAAATTAAAGCCTAAAAAAATAAATAAAATAAAACTTATAAATATATTAAATATAAATTCGGTAAAAATCTATAAATTTAAATTAAATACCTAAAAACCGTTAAAAAGATTTAAAAAATACTAATAAAAAAATATAAACTAAAAAAAAATACTATATTTTAAAATTTAATATTTAAATAAAATACTATTTTTTTAATTATTAAAAATACTATATTAAAACTAAAATTTTAATTTTAACTTTTAAAACTTAATTTTAAAAAATTTAATAAAACCTATACCGTTAATAAATTATATTTTATTTATAAATTTTTTTTTATATTTAGCCCTAAATATAATACCTTTTTTATTACTTTTTTTAAATTTATAATATTATTCCTAAATATAATAATAAAAATAAAATTATTAAAAAAGCGGTTACTTTTAAAATAATACTTAACCTTACCCTATAAAAAAAATAAAACTAAAAACTTAAAGTTATTAAAATTAAATAGGCCTTTTTATATTTTAAAAATAAAAATAACTCTAATAGCTAAAAAAACAATTATATTAATAATAAATATAAAACCGGCCTTAACTATATCTACTATAAAAGTTAAAAATATAAAACCATTAATTATTTATTAAAAAAATATTTCTAAAAATACCTTAAATTAGCCCTAACTAATTAATAAAATAATAATAAAACCCTATTAAAAAAATAAAAAACAAATTAAAAACTAATATAAATAAAATTTATATTTATAAAATATAATAATATTATACCGGTTAAAACTATAACCTTTTTAATTTTTAAAAATAATAATATTAAAAAACCGAATAAACCTTTATTTATTAATATACTTTTTAAATTTTTTAATATACTATTACCGAATAATATATTTATAACTATACGCCTAATAATAAATAATACTAAAACTATAATATTTAATATATAATTAATTATTTTTATTATTAAATTAATATTTAAATATATACCTAAAGACTTATTTATTAATCGAAAACTAATAAAAATAAAACTAATAATTATATTTAAATAAAAAGTAATAAAACTTATTAAAAAATTAAATGTTAAATCACTGCTGTTAAACCACTGCAGTTAAACCACTGCAGTTAATCTATGGTAGGCTAATCTAGATTAGGTTTAGCGTAGTCACGTAACTACATTACGTAACCTACGGGACCTTAGTAGTAGTAATTAAATCCCCACCACTACAGCCCACAATTTTTACCTTTTAATTTAACAATAATAAATTATTACCATAAATCGCGATTCCATCGTAATTCGTACGTACGTATAATAGAAGCTATCCAATACTAATTAGTAGTTATAAAGGCAATTATAAATAAATAAAGGTAAAAAGATAGACTATAGCTAGCTTTTAAAATAAACTTTCGTATTTAATCCGATTTAATCCTATAATTTTAGCTAAATATTTAGCCGGCTATATAATAAAAGGATTAAAAACTTTACTTTACTAATAAAAAAAGGATATTTATATATTTAATTCTATAAAAAATATTCTAATTAATAAAAAAATAAAATAATAAACCCTTTTACCGAAAAGAAAATACCGTATACCCTAAACGGTAACTATAACAAATACCCCTATACCTTAACTATCGACAAATTTAAAATTCTATCGGATTTTAACATTTTTTAATAAGATTTAATATTTACCGATACCCCGTTAATTTTAACGCTATCTAATTATACTATATTACCTATATTACTAAAATGGCTAACTTAATTAAAATCCCGTTATTATCGGATTTTAATATTTAAAAAACCTTTATTTTCGAAAAAATATAATAAAAATTACTACTATTATTATACCTATAGATAAAATATATATACCCGGATTTTTTTAATAAAAATATCGACCTTAATAACCCCCTATAAAACCTTAAATACTATATAACCTTTATAGGTAATACTATTCGGACCTATAATAACTTCTTATATAAAAATTAATAAATACTTAAATAATTTTAGGGAAATTTTTAAAAATAAAAGAACTATAATTTCGATAAAATAAATCGTTATTTTAAAATATAGCTATTAAAAACCCTCGTAAAATACGAAGTCTTTTTACTAAAAAATAAAAAAAACGTATATAAATTCCTAAAATTATTTATAATTAACGACTTAAATGCTTTAAATACTTTAAATCCTATATCGATAATTACCTAATTAACTATAACGCCGTTACCCCCTATTTTTATATCTATACGTTAATTTTCCCGTACTATAAACGTACCGGATATATAAATTATAATTTCCGATAGAAATATAACGGGTATTTTAATACCTAACTTCTAAATAACGAATACCCTATTTACTAATAATTAAAAACCTATATTTATTTTTAATTTATAAGGCTTTTATACCCTATTAATTATGCCTAAAAGCTAGGCCTTATTTATTTATAATAGCTAAATATATAAACTACTTCC